TTTTAGTTTTGCTTTAGACACCGAGTTTCTCTTACTTTGTTTCCTATCCTTTTTATTGGAACTGCTACCGAGCCTACCGTTCAAGCTTTAAGACCTTTTGATTCTATCTGTGTTATTCCTCATTAGTGGAGAGTAGTTCGATATTTAGGCTTATGGAGTCTGCCACCATTTGATAAACTTTACATTTGTGCATAAAATAATCCGGGAAGTTGGAATGTGATTAAAGTGGGATCACCACTTGGTGCTGATTGAGGAAAGACAGTCGTGTAGCTTATAACTTCTTGGATGTGTTGAACATTTCCTGTTAATAATTTTTCACAATTTTTGAGACTTGCACTTCAGGCAATTCTTGTGGAATTTTGTTTTTTCATTTTGTTTTTCAGTTTTGTTGTGTGTTTTTGTTTTTGTTTGTTGTCTGTGTTTTCGTTAGTTTTGTACTGTATGCTCGGGGACAGCATCATCTTTAGTTTGGGTAGTTGATAATCCTTGATTATACATTTCATTGACCTTTTTTTGGATTTCAGGTACTTTCTAGTGCATTTTTGACCTGAATTGTTGCTTAATTCTTTCCTTTTCTGTTTCAGGTTAAAATGGACTTTTGAGCATAAGACAAATTGTTAGTTTTGACTCAAAATTAGCGGATCTCAGAAGATGGGAGATTCCGAAGCAGGATAAGCACGATGAAGCTTGTTCCCAAGGGAGAGCACGAGAATCGAAGAATCAAAGAAGAGCAAGCAGAGTGGCAGTTCTGTAATTTCAGAACTTTCAGAAGCTTCGCCCCGCGAAGGACTTTCTTGCCGTGGCGACGTAGCGAGCGTGTTATTTCTTCATCTCGTCGCCAATCATTATTTCGTTTTGTAAACGCACAGTTTCGCTTGTGCTGTGTTTTGGCTGGGTAATTTGGACGAGTATAAAGAATAACTTCCTTGCCAAGGGCTTGCTGTTTAGGTTAGCTCTTTTACATTTTTCTTGGATGACTTTGCGATTTTGGATTGTAAAGGGAGAAGATTCGATTCTAACTAAGGATTCTTCTTTTGGGGAGATTTCTTATCTTTATCTCAGTTTCATTATGTTTAACTTGATTATTTCCGTTTTTTCGTTTTTGTATTATGATTTAGCTATGAACTATCTATTTGGGTTAGGGTTTTGATTGTAGTTTGGATTTTATGGGTTGTGTTTGATTGTTTATTTCATATGAATGCTTTGGTTGTGTGTTTACTCTGAGTTTTAATGCTGTATTGATGAACATGATGAGATTGAAAAATATCATGTTAGGTTCTTGGGTATCACCATTATAGTATTGGATGCTAAGATAGATTCAAGAATTAATGAAATCATTGTAGATTCTGTTGCTTAATGAGTTTGAATTGTTAATCTTTATTTTGTTGGGTGCGATGGTTAATAAGGATGAATAGAAACATAGCCCGAGAGGGTATGTTTACACTTGTGTGTTCGATTTACAACCTGCGTATGAATGTGAATGTAGTGTAATTTGGTTTAACCCATAAAATCCAAAGAAGTCAAAACCCTACCCGTTTACTTGAATTGATTATCCTGTTTTTTCAGTTTGCTTTCTTTAATTAAGTTTTTAGTTTAAAATTCAATTGTTAGTTTTAATTAGAATTAGCTCCATCAATCCAAAGAAATCGTTGCTCAACTTGATAACATTAGGAAACTTAGTGCTTTGCTAACAATCCTCGTGGAAAAGAATGATACTCTACTCATCATTTTATTAATTTTTGCAACTAGTATACTTGCTACATTTTTGCATGTTGTAAGAACACGCATCAGGTTGGTAATTTCTGATAGCATTTTTTGAAATATTATGTTTTTTTTAACCCTATTTTGTTAATTTAACTAAACACCCCCACATAAAAGTTTATAAATTGACAAAAACACCCCCACCCCACCACATATTGCCACCCGCCCACCACTACCACATCACGGAAGGGACCAGAATCTATTGGAATGGGACGATTTTTGATTTGAGGATCGTGTGCTGATCTTCTTTTCTGACAAGATCCAGTGGATTTTGTCGAAAACGCAATCTGACCATAATGGCCAGATCATTGACAACGATGGCCAAGATTGCGCGCCGTGATGACCAAATCTTGCCATAGATCTGTCCGTTCTGTCATGTGTCATTACGGCAGTAGTGGTGGTGGTAGCAGTTGGTGGTTGCTAGCGGGTGAGTGGCGGTGGTTTGGGGTGTTTTTGTTAATTTTAAAACTTTTATTGAGAAAGGTAATTGTTAATTTTTTGGGTTAATAGAATATGATTGAATTTTGAAAAAACAATATGTATTGGATAGGATTTGATAAGATAGTGGAATAGAATAGGTGAAAATGTTGTATCAAAGGGAGCCCAGTCATTCCAAAACTCATAACCAAAATTCTTTTAACTCTATTTTGAAAAAACAAAAGTGGGGTGGTGTATTTCTCAGTAACACCCGCAATGGTGTTGAAGGGGTGATTGAGGGGAAGAGTGCGGAAGTACTTATCTCGCCTTCTAATTGAAGGCTCACCTTCTTTTTCTTCATTCGCTTCATAGGTTCCTCTCTCTGCGTCGACAAGCTCTTGATGGTTGGCCCCTTTACTCTCCAAAACCCAAATCCTTATTCAGTATTCTACTATTGTTTTAAATTAATTTAAGAATTTGAATTATTAAAATTGTGCTCTTAGCTGCAATCTTTTATTCTTCCTAAAGAGTGAAATGGTGCACTATGGTTGATTGGGGCTTTGGTGATGTTCCTCAACTTGGATTGTCATTTCGACATTTCATGCCTGCACAATTCTAAAGCATCGGATCATGGAAGCTATGGTAACCTAATATACAAATAATTTTTTTTTTTTTTTTTTTTGACATGGAAATGCTTACTTACTTTATAAATAATGTTTGTTTAAAATATTGTAGTTTTAAACATATTTGGAATTAATACGCTTATATAGGTTGTGGGGTCATGGGATGAAATTTTTTCATTCCATCCAAATCAATCAAAATCTCGGTTCTTGCAAGAGTAGAAACTTTGGTTTTTTAAAAAGGATTCCCAGCTTAAGGGATAACTATTTGTTACCAATGGGGAAATGAATAGCTAGTTTTAGAATATTATTGTTGTCATACTTAAACCTAACTAATATAACAAACCAATATTCATAACATCATAAGAAATTTCCAAAACCATGTGTTAGATTCTCTAGTTCTATTTTAGCCTCCTAAGTAGTTTAGGCATCTACTCTGGTGCAAATTTCATCCACATGGTTTATAGGAATGAGTTCCATTTGGATGTGCTTTATTACAATTTACCTGAAAAATTTCTCCAATTAAAAATATCATAGGTTCTGAATATTCAAAAGGGAAAGTATCATGGATTCGCTAAAGTTTGGTTAATTATATTGGAGCCATCCTGATTCTAGATTTTCTTGAAAACCCCAACTATTTGAGAACTCAAGTAGACTAAACATGCCTAAAGATATTTGAGTAATTTCACTGTCCAAAAGTTATGAAAATATTGATATTATTTTGAAATTTGTAACAAAGCTTATCTGTTCTATGTCTTTGTCTTGTCTCTCCGCCCTCTACTATCTGACTATAGCCAAACAAACCCTACTCCATTTTCCTCTTCACTACACAATTTCTTTTGATGGTAATATTTCATGCACCAACATTCTGTGAGACCCCGTCATCTTGGACCATGGGCTATCCCAGTCTTGGCCTACTACGGCCTCATGGGCTTTCCACATGCGCCCCATCATCTTGGGTCTCCCTCATCTGGATATCCCCACCCCTGCAAGTGGGTTTCTTTCGCCTTCCCCATCTCGAGAACACAAGACCTGCAGGCTAAGTTACTCATCTCTCTTGTCATAAGTACTTAGCTTGCAGGTCTTGTGTTCAAGAGATGGGGAAGGCGAAAGAAACCCACTTGCAGGGGTGGGGATATCTAGATAAGGGAGGCCCAAGATGATGGGTGCATATGGAAAGCCCATGAGGCCGCAATAGGCCAAGACTGGGATAGCCCATGGTCCAAGATGACGGGGTCTCACACATTCCTTTACTCTCTATTGAGAATATGTCTCAGCTAATGATTTGGCATGATGAGGTGGCTGCTGGTTTGGTAAAGGATTGCTGCATAATGGATGGTTGCTGATTTGGTGCTGAAAGTTGTTAAACGTGTGTGTTTCTAGATTTAGTCTTTGAAGTAGAGTTGGTCATGTGCTTGTTTTTAGGAGTAAGTTATTTTAGTAGTGAATAAGTTGTTAGTGGGGTCATGTTTAGTGTTTTTAGTAAGTTTGTTAAGTATTTCTGTTACAAAATCTTGTATATATTTGTTGTTGATTTAATAAAGATTGCGTAGTTTGCAGTCTCTATTAAGTTTTTTTGCATTATAGTTGCTTAGATTTTGTTCTTGCACAAATAAAACTACAAATTGGTATCAGAGCTCTTTTTTTCTTAAGCGATATGTGTGATGTCTGTAAGTAGTGTTATTTGCAAACACTAAATCAAAAAACAGAAACCTTGTTTTAATGGCTTCCAATGCATTCTCTCCAGTTTCTCCACCAGTTTTCACTGGTGAAACTGCACACTATCATACATGGGCATTTAGAATGTCTGCTTATTTGCAAGCTGTGGACCTCTGGGAGGCAGTCGAGGAAGACTACGAAATTGACCCATTACCTGACAATCCCACTGTGCAGCAAATTAAGGTTCACAAGGAAAGGAGAACTAAGAAGTTCAAGGCCAAATCATGTCTCCATTCAGCAGTGTCTGAAGCATTATTTACTAAGATCATGAACTTGGAGTCAGCTTTTGAAATATGGCAGTATCTCAGGGAGGAGTTTCAAGGCAATGTGAGAACAAGAAGCATGCAGGTGTTAAATCTCAGAAGGGAATTCGAGCTCCAGAAGATGAAAGAGTCTAAGACTGCCAAGGAGTATGCAGAAAGGCTTTTGAACATTGTTAACTGAGTGAGGCTTCTTGGAGAGCAGTTTTGTGATAGAAGGATTATGGAGAAAATTCTGGTGACCTTACTTGAGAAGTTTGAAGCCAAGATATTTGCTTTGGAGGAGTCTAGAGACCTTGCAGACATCTCATTGGTAGATCTTTTAAATGCTCCGCAGGAGCAAGAGCAAAAGAGACAAATTGGAGGGGATGGATCTGTTGAAGGTGTTTTATAATCAAAGTTACAGATCCATGAAAGTGGTAACGGCAAGAAGACAAAATGGAGGAAACACAAAGGTGTTGGAGCCAAGAGTAGTAATAGGAATGTAGGTGCTCAAAACAACAACAATAATGCTAGAAGGTTTCCTCCATGTCCTTACTATGAAAGGACTAATCACTCTTAGAACAGGTGTTAGAGCATGCTTGATTTTAAGTGCAATGGATGTAATCAGATGGGCCATGTGGAAAGAATTTGCAAGAGCAAAAGCAACCAGCAGGAGGATGAGGCTAAGGCTGTGGTTCAAGAAGAAGAAGAAGAGCAACTGTTTATTTTATCCTATTATGCAAGTAGTAGCTTGAGTGAGGCTTGCCTATATATAGTGGTTGTACAAACCACATGACGAATGATCTAAAGTTCTTCAGGTAGTTGGACAAGTCTGTCTTCTCCAAAGTCAAAGTCGGCAATAGAAAGTATGTTGAAGTTAAAGGTCGAGGGACTATAGCTATTGAAAGTGTTATAGGTAGTAAACTTATCAATGATGTTTTATATGTACCTAAGATTGACCAAAATTTGCTAAGTTTTGGACAACTTCTTGAGAAGTGGTTTAAGGTGTTTTTCGAGAACAAGAGGTGTATCATTAAAGATGCTGAGGATCAGGAAGTGTTTACTATAAAGATGAGAGGCAATTACTTTTCACTAGATCTCATGGAAGAGGAACGAGCTGCATATCAAATTTCATTAAACAATGTCGTGACATGGCATAAGAGATTAGGCCATTTTCACCATCAAGCACTCTTGTTTATGCAGAAGCATGAGTTGCTACAAGGCCTTCCTCCACTGGAAGATCACTTACCAAGCTGCAAAGCTTGTCAATATGGCAAGCAAAATAGGTTGCCATTCCCTCAAAAATCTTGGAGAGCCTCACAGAAGTTGCAACTTATGCATACTAACCTTAGAGGACCACTAAAGACTTCATCACTTAAAGGAAGCAGGTATTATATGTTTTTATAGATGATCTGACAAGAATGTGTTGGATTTATTTTTTAAGGTTCAAGTCTGAAGTGGCTGAAGTGTCTAGAGATATAAGGCTTTTGTGGAGAACCAAAGTGGCTGCAAGATGCAAATATTAAGGTCAAATAATGGGAAGGAGTACACCTCAACTCAATTCAATCAATTTTGTGAAGAAGCAGGCATTGAACATCAACTGACAACCCCCTATACCCCACAACAAAATGGAGTAAGTGAAAGAAAAAATAGATCGATCATGGAAATGACAAGGTGCATGTTGCATGGGAAGGGAATGCCTAAATTTTTTTGGGCAGAGGTTGCTAGAACTACTATTTTCCTCTTAAACAGGCTGCCAACAAGGGCTTTGGAAAATAAAACTCCTTTCCAAGTTTGGTATGGGTTTAAACCCTCCTTACTGAATCTAAAAATATTCGGTTGTTTGTGCTTTTCACATGTTCCTCAAGTGAAGAGGGACAAGCTTGATAAAAGGGTAGAGCTTAGGGTGTTTATTGGTTATAGCAGCTCTTCTAAAGCTTACAGAATTTTCCAACAGCAAACTAGAAAAATTCTGACCAATAGAGATATTGTGTTCATGGAAGAGGAACAGTGGAATTGGGATCAAAGTTAAGAAATTCTACATACTCGTGACAACAACATAGATGATCCACCTGTAAGAGGAACTAGATATCTCTCAGACATCTATCAAAAATGTAATGTTGTTGTGATGAAGCCTGAAGAGTACAAAAATGCTGAGAAACACCAAAGATGGGTGGAAGCCATGAAGGAAGAAATGAGAATGATTGAGAAAAACCATACTTGGGAGCTTGTTGATAAGCCCTAAGATAGGAAAATTATTAGAGTTAAATGGGCATGTAGAACCAAATACAACTCAGATGGTTCAATCAACAAGTATAAGGCAAGACTTGTTGTTAAAGGGTTTGCTTAAGTGTTCAGTGTGGACTTCTTAGAAACCTTTGCACCTGTTGCAAGGTTAGATACCATCAGAATGTTATTAGCATTAGCTGCACAAAGGGGTTGGAATTCTTAAATGGTTTCTTGTAGGAAGAGATTTATGTTGAGCAACCAGAGGGATTTGTGGTGAAAGGTCATGAGGACAAGGTGTATCTACTAAGGAAGGCTTTGTATGGTCTTAAACAGGCACCAAGAGTCTGGTATAGCAGAATTAATGATCACTTGTTAAGCCTAGGCTTTGATAAGATCCTTAGTGAAGCCACTTTATATGTGAGAAAGGTGGATTCTGACTTAATTATTATATCTATTTGTGTTGATGATTTGCTTATTACAAGAGGAAATGAAGAGCATATTAAAGACTTCAAGGCAGAAATGTTCAAGGTATTTGAAATGACAATCTAGGCCTGATGTCTTATTTTCTTGGAATAAAGGTGAGGCAAAGACAACAAGACATTTTCATTTGTCAAACTAAATATGCAAAGGAGATTCTAAAGAAGTTTCATATGTAGAGCTATAAGGCTACAACAACTCCTATGGTTCAGAAGGAGAAGTTTAGCAAGGATGATGGGTCTGACAAAGTTGATGAAAGGTTATATCAAAGCTTAATAGGTTGCCTGATGTATCTCATAGCAACTAGGCCTGATATCTTATATGATGTGAGTATGCTATTAAGATTTATGCACTGTGCTAGTGAAGTGCATCTTTAAGAAGTAAAGAGAGTTGTTAGATATGTGAAGGGCATTGCCAACTATGGTGTTCAGTTCTCACAGTGTTCAGTCCTGGAATTTCATGGCTTCACAGATAGTGACTAGGCAGGTTCAGTTGATGATATGAGAAGCACAACTAGATTTTTTTTCAGTTTTGGTTCAGGGGTTTTCTCATGGTGCTCTAAGAAGTAGGAGTTGGTTGCTCAAAGTATTGTAGAAGCTAAGTTTGTGGCTATTACAGTAGCTGTCAATCAAGTTCTTTGGTTTAGGAAGGTGCTAATTGATCTACATATGGAGCAGAATGAAGGCACAAAGATTCTGGTTGACAACAAGACAACAATTTCAATTTCAAATAATCTTGTCTTTCATGGCAGGACAAGGAAGTTTAAAATCAAATTATATTTCCTAAGGGAAATACAAAAGGAAGGAGAAGTATGTTTGGCTTATTGTAGAACCAAAGATCAAGTTGCTGATACATTTACCAAGGCCTTGTCCAAAACCAGGTTTGAGTTTCTAAGAGAAAAACTAGGAATGTGCAGCATATAATCTAAGGAAGAGTGTTGAGAATATGTCTCAGCTGTTGATTTGGCATGATGAGGTGGTTGCTGATTTGGTCAAGGATTGCTGCATAATGGATGGTTGCTGATTTGGTGTTGAAAGTTGTTAAATGTGCATGTTTCTAGATTTAGTCTTTGAAGTAAAGCTGGTCATGTGCTTGTTTTTAGGAGTACGTTATTTCAGTAGTGAATAAGTTGTTAGTGGAGTCATGTTCAGTGTTTTTAGCAAGTTTGTTATGTATTTTTATTACAAAATCTTGTATATATTTGCTACTGATTCAATAAAGATTGCGTAGTTTGCATTCTCTATTAAGCCTTTTTTGCATTATAGTTGCTTAGATTTTATTCTTGCACAAATAAAGCTACACTCTCAAACCAAATTTAATACTTTAGTTATGGCCAAAAATCCATATACTACACCAGTACACTTGTGTTTTAAGAGCTGAGGGATTTTGTGTGGTGCTTAACTTTAAATAGTGTGATATTGTGCTCATGGTTACTCTTTTGAGTGATTGTAGCTGCAAAGAATTTATTGCATTGTTATGCTATGAGCATTGATTTGTTTTGAGTGGAAGTTGAAGAAGTGAGAGGTTGCCAAAGCCATTTGGCAAAAATGAAGCATTATTAGAGCCTTGCTTTTAATTGACCCTAACCTTATTATGATTCATTCTAATTAAGTGCAACCTTATTTATGAAGCGAATTCTATTTGTACTCTTTTAGTTTGTCAATTAGTATTGATTTAAAGTTTTAAACCAATAAGGACTTATATGGATCTACAGATATGAATGTTTCTCTTGGTTCTCTACTTTAAATAGCTTCTAATCATTTGATATATCATCTGCCAACAAGTTTGTTAGCTTTGTTGCCAAGGTTTTGGCCAAACATACAAGGGCTTCTAGGTTGAAAATGTGAAGAGGCCATTAATTTTGTTAAAAACTTATGGTTCTGAGGGAATGAATCATATAAAAAAAATCTTTTTTTGCATGGCTATTAATGATTGTGATGTTTGTGCATAAAATTTCCTTACTTTTTATTGTAAAATCCAAGAGTCCATTTTGTATCATTTTAAAAAAATATTTACTGTTTCAGCAATTCAAATGCTTATAATGTTCTTTTAATGTTATATTTGAAAATTATGAATTGAGAAACACAATTCATTCTTCAAAATATTTTAGTGTTAAATTCAACAACAAATTAAAGACTTTTTTTTGAAAAAAGGATATGAAAATGAAGTCGTTCAATGAAAGTACCCAAAGATGTGTCTTGCCTCATGGTAAGTCTTCAAATCGTATATTCTTTCACTGCATTTTGTGTCCAACTTGTTTGCTAGATGTGCTAGGTAGCCAAAATAGCTCAGGTCTGTTCAGGTGTGAAGCATTGCTTATGGAGTGTATTTTTGCTTTGGGAACGAGAAGAAAGCCAACACTTAATGGTGTGAAACGATGGTAAGGATTCAGAGAACACGAAAAAGAAAAGCAAGAGAGATTAAGTTTTGCCTCTATTCAATTCTTTAGAAATGGGTTACACAAGGAAAAACTTTCCCTTTTATATAGTTTTCAGATAAACGAAACTATACAAACAATTTCATTTGTGAAAATGAAATGAAGATGTCTGAACTTTGACAAAACGACATTACTTTTGTCAAAGTTCAATTTGCTCCTGCTACTCAGCTTCTTTGCATTCTCACCCCTTTTTATCAACACTTCCCCTCAAACCAAACTGGCTTCTTTGCATTCTCATCCCTTTTTATCAACACTTCCCCTCAAATCAAATTGAGAAGCTTTAGTACATTACTATCAACATAGTTGAGCCACAGTTTATAGCCTAAGTTTGTAACATTTGATCACGCAGCATCTGAGCAAATTATGAGTGGAAGCCTGGAAGCTGGACTAAACTTATAGAATAAGATAAGCATGGGCAGGTCTGTAAAAGAAGTTTCTGTAACCTTTAACCACAAACCAACTGAATCACATTGCACCAGCAATCTAGACTATAATATAACACAATCTGAACATATAAAACATAAAATCTGGCTACAAAGAGTATGACTATACTCTTATTGTATTCTGACCAAGAGTACTGAAGTAGGAATTAATCAAAGCTCTGAACTGAACCTAAGCTGATCTAGTAGCAACTAATCAACTGATTATATGAATTCAAAAAAAAAAAATTCTCCTGAGCTGATCCTGAACTGATCCAGTAGCAACAAATCAACTAATGCAATAATTCAAACAAAAACAGAGCTCTGAACTGATCCTAAACTGATCCAGTAGCAACAAATCAACTGATACCCTGAGCTCAAAAACTTTTAAACTAATCCAGCAACTAATCAATAAGCTTATATAGTAATTGAACTGACTGAATTCCAAGATAAGTAGCAAACAACAACAAGTAGTAACAAATCAATTGATGCAGTAATTCAAATAATAAACAAAGCTCTGAACTGATCCTGAACTGATCTAGTAGCAACAAATCAACTGATACCTTGAGCTAAAAAAAAAAAAAACTTCCAAACTGATCCAGCAACTAATCAAATCAGCTTATACAGTAATTGAACTAACTGAATACCAAGATAAGGAGCAAACAACAACAAGCAGCATACTAAAGAACTCTGAACTGATCAGTCAACCAATCAATAATCAACTCACATACCAGTTGAATTGGGGGCTCACCAAAATGAGCAACAAGTGGCAGATAAAAGCATGCAGTTTTGGACTATGCATGTGAAGGAGCAGATTCAACAACAATTAGCTTTTGTCTTAACTTAGCAAACTGAGTAGCAGATAATGGTTGGTCAACAAATCAGCTATTTGCAATTTTGAAGGCACATAATGAACACTGATCTTTTTAGCTAGTACTTGCTCTCGTATATAGTGTGTGTCAATCTCAATATGTTTCGTTCATGCATGAAACATGGGATTGGCAGCCAAAACACCTACACTAACATTGTCACACCAAATAATTGGAGTGTGAGGAAGTGTAATCCCTAACTCAGAGAACATACTCTGAAGCCATGCCACTTCAGTAGCAGTGTGAGCTAAGGCTCTATATTTAGCTTCAGTGGAAGAGAGAGCCACTACCTTCTGTTTCATGGAGCTTCAATGAATCAAATTTGGACCAAGGTAGACACAATAACCACTAGTTGACTATTTATCATCTAGGTTACTGCCCCAGTCAGCGTCGGTATAGCACTCAACATGAAGAGTGCTCACTGGTTTGAACTGAAGCCCATAAAATAGAGTACCTTTGATATACCAAACCACTCTTTTATAGGCCTGCCACTATAGATTAGTAGGTGCTTGTAAAAATAGACTTAACCAATTGATAGGGAAGCCAATATTTGGTCTTGTAAGAGTCAAATATTGTAGTGCCCCTATGGTTCTTCTATAGAGACTTGGTTGATCAAATAAGGGACCATCACCAGTAAATAGTTTTTTACCAACAACCATTGGTGTGGAGCAAGGATGAGCATCCATCATTTTGGTCTTTTCTAACAAATCTGAGGCATATTTGGTCTGTTTAAGGTGTATTCCGATAGACCCTGAAAGATTCAGCATGCATGAAGAGTGGTGGAGATGGAGAATGAAAGCATGAAAGCATGGATTAAAAAAACGGTTTACATGCAAAGCTTGGATATGAGATTATACCTACTCCTTTGCTTTGGATTGATGAAGTTTAGCTTCAAAAGGATGAAACCTCCACACTTTAACACCACCTTGAGAGGATTAGAGAGTGGCCTTGGCTAGGGAGAGAGAGCTTTTAGTTTGTGTTTGAGTGAACAAGTGAATAATGAACAAAAATGCAACCTTTTGCACTTATATATACTTGGGCTATTTTGCAATTATTTATTTTTCACTTCCAAGCCCAATAAAATCTTATTTTATAAAGGGACCCCACGAATTTAATATGCTACCCTTTGAATAATCAATATTATTCAAGGGCCCATGTAAACTAAACTAGTTTACATTAACAACCCATAAATTTACCCTTTTTACCCTTTAACTATTAAAAGGTTATTTTTGTTCATCTCATTAATCTTAACACTTTAAGATATAATAATTAAATATAATTAATTATTGCTTGACCATTTTAACCCTTAAAATGTCACAAATTGTTTTCTATGTAACTATTACTATAGAAATCCCGTTATTACCCTCGGAAGGTGCTAGCCCTCTTCGGATAATCATTTCTCTCTCTCATCATTCTCTAACTTCTCAAGGCTATTGGTGTGACCATGTAGGTCCACCGTGGATTAGCCGTGAGCCGGTTCTGGATGAATCCGGAAACCCGTCCGGAGGCCCAACGACTATGGTAAACATCTAGCAATGTGCCATAGTCCCTAAACCACGATGAAGAAATACTTCATCGAACCCATTTCAGATCATACGTACCATGCAGGTAAAGTCCCTCCATTGAGATATCCTAATCGAGTATGGATTCAT